AAATTCTATTAAAGCCAACCTCTTCGATTTCTGGGGACCGAATTATTTTTAAAACCTGTGATAATTCCTCAAGTATTCCCCCTATTTTTGTCCAATTATTTGAGGCCTTCCTGTATTTTAAATAATTCAATTTTCATTAATACTCAAAATTAGCCGAAACCCTGGGAATTCTATAAATTCCTTTCACGGGCATTTTCATCGTTTTTAGCCTCATACAAGCCCCTAGACCTTATCCCTATTTTTCTGAAATTTTTCTAAAGTATTCAAGCCTACTTTCCATCACTAACCTTTTTGGCTGGAAACTTCACAAATTTGCGTTTTAGGTCCCTGTTCGGATTTAGACTCAGGAATCCTCTTACTGAGGTTCCTAGTACAACCTTTAGCCCTTAATTACCTCAACTCCTTATATTGGACTCGCGAACTTCACATACAGGTCTTCTTAACATGTCATTTCTTCTTTTTTAGAATTTTTCTAGGATTTTTGGCATAATTATTATTTTTGTCCTTACCAGCCTGAAATTTTACAAAATTATGATTTTGCTCTTGATTTAACTTAACCCCATAATTCACCTCGTTGAGGCCTCTACATAACTTTTGGCTCACATTCATCTATATTTCTCATTCTTAGGCCTCGAGACTTCACTAGAGTCTCTAACTTTTTCTTTTCTCAATCTCAGAAAACTTTTCCTTTGCGATTTAGTCCCTGGGAATCCCTTTGTACCTTTAGGGAACCTCTGGGACCTTTTCCAAAAAAAGGTCTAGTAGCCTGCCTATTTAAGGCTAATTTTGATATTTCTAGGCCCAAAATTTGGATGTGACACCTTATAAAGGTGCAGATATCTCCTCCTCATAGACGCGTTTTCTAGGTGGCTACAGCTGCACCTAGAGGAACAAAACCATGAGGTAGCTACGGCTGTACCAAAGTGGATAATATCTACTAGCGATACCCTAGGATGGCTACAGCTGCACTCCGGGACCTAGGGACATGACATTTAGTATCAAAGCCAAGTTTGAGTCGGTATGCCAGTGAGAATGCTGGGCCCTAAAGGAGGATGGATTGTAAAGTCCCATATCGGCTGGGGAGGGGAACGAAGCATGCCTTATAAGGGTGTAGATACCTCCCCCTTATAGATGTGTTTTCTGGGTGGTTATGGCTGCACCCAGGGAAACAAAATTGTGAGGTGGCTATAGCTACACCAAAGCAAATAATATCTACGAGCGAGACCCTGGGATGGCTACGACTACACTTCAAGACTCGGGGATGTTACAAATTGCAATATATGTAATCAACTTCCCTTAATGCAACTAGTTACTAAGTTACACTTATTCAAATCCCACAATTTCAAACTCAAGACAAAATGTCACTTTATAAATTTTTTCCCTTAAAAGTGAAAAATCATTTATCTAAACCACTCCCTCACACTTATATCAAATATTGTTCTCAATGGTATAAGAAGTAAATTAAAGTAAAGGAACTAGTACTCCCTCGGTTTAAATTTCTAATTATGAGTTGAAGTACTGCCTTGATGCATCACCTCCCTACAATAAATCTTGGGAGGGTTGTTAATGAAGAGAAAATGAGGGTAATAGATCGTGATATAGAAAAATAAAAATAAATAAAAGAAAGTAAATTTGATGGGTTGCCTCCCAACTAGCACTAAATTTAACGTCTATAGCTGGACGCAGTTGTAGTGGTTAAGAGATGCCTTCTAAGTATGATATGAATGTTTCTCCTCTTAGATCAGAAGACATCTTCCTTTCCCATTTAAACTTCATCATCCAATCAGCAAAGAGGGACCTTGTTAGTGAGCAAGGGACCCACCATTTTGACTTAATTATGCCAGTAGCAGCACTTTTACTGGGAGTGGTAGGCTGATTCTTAAGCTGTATTTGTGATTCCTTACTTTCCTCCTCAATTCTTTCTATATCTTCCAAAGCATGATAAGGAGGATTCTTTGGATGCTTCTACTCATCCTGTACCATATTTATGCTGCTGAAAGACTCATCAGTGATAGGAAGGTTAGTAGCTTTAGCGAATTTAAATACTTCTTTATTGTTTCCCACTTTAAATACTAACTCTCCCTTCGACATATTAATTAAAGCACCTCCAATTGCTAAAAATGACCTTCTTAATATTAAAGAAACATTCCAACTATCTTCAATATCTAAAATAATAAAATTTGTAGGAATATAAAGTTTACCGACTTTAACTATGACATTCTCTACTACACCTTGTAGATATTTGAATGATTTGTCTGCGAGTTGAAGAGTCATGTTGACCAACTTGATATTTGTCATCCCAAGTTTCCTGCATGAAGAATAAGGCATTAGATTAATACTAGCACCTAAATCGCATAAACAATTTTCAATAAGATTAGAACCAATATCACAAGGAATAGTGAAACTCCCTAGATCCTTCAATTTAGGTGGTAGTTTTTTCTACAAAATTGTGCTACACTCTTCTGTAAGTATCACTATGGCATATTCTTCCAACCTTTTCTTATTTGAAATCAGCTCCTTGATATACTTGACATAAGTAGGCATTCTTGCTAATGCCTCTATAAAAAAACTTATTTATTCAAATTTTCTTTAACATCTCAAGGAATCTTTAGAAGCCTAAATCTAAATCCTTCTTTTGAAGACATTCAAGATATGGAATAGGAGGCACATAAGGGTTGACTTCAAATGGCAAAAGATGACTTTGAGTAATGTTATCTATAGGTAGCTTAATTACATTGTCATTTTCATCGTTCTTCTGCTCACTTTCCTTTTTAAACACATTTTAAGGTCCAGTATTAGCTTCTTGAAGTTCTCCACCATTCCGTAAGGTGACTACCATAACTTGCTCCCTTGGATTGACTTCAGTATTGCTAAGAAACTTATTTTGATCTTTTCCAATAAGTAATTTAGTCAATTACTTATTTAAGCTTCTATGTTTTTCATTGAGTGGCCTATTTGTGAATCTATATTTTTCATAGAAGCTTGAGTTGAAGCAACGACCTGTTTAAGTTGGTCAATTTCATGATTTATACTCTTCATGCTATTAACTTGGTGAGTGGCCATTTGAGCTAAAGCTTCCTCCAACCTTGTTATTCGATCCTTGAGTGTGCTATTTTGTTGTTGGAAGCTTAGTGGTGCTTATGGCCTTTGAGAAAAAAAAAATTTCCAAGAGAGATTTGAATGATCTCTCGAACCTAGATTACACTACAAAAAACATCAAACTAATGACGGAATTTCCGTCACTAATCAAAATTAGCAATGGATTAGAGACAAATTAGTGACGGAATTTAGTTAGCGACGGAATTTTTTTCATCACTAATTCCACCGTCACTAAATAATTAGTGACGGAATTCAAATTCATAGCGATCGATTACTAACGGATTAGCAACGAAAATTAGTGACAAAAAATTTCCGTTACTAATATGTTGCTAATTAGTGACAGATATCCCACAAAAATTCTGTCACAAAATAATGATGGATTTGTGATGAAAAATTCCGTCACAAATTGGTGACAGAAATTTCCATCACAAATCCGTCACTAAATTTTTTTATTTTGTAAATTTAAAATATCACATCATCGCCATGTGTCCATCACTATGAGCCGCCATATCATCAATGGCTGCCACCTCACCAACTCCTCTCTCTCCCCCCATGTTGTCATATCATCTCGTCGGCCACGTCATCACCACGTGTCCATCATTAGATGCCACCTCAACCCCTCCTCTCTCCTATGCAGCCACGTCAGCATAGCATCCATATCATCACCATGTGTCCATCATTATGAGCCGCCACGTCATCGCCTTGCCCACGTCATCGCCACGTCATCACCTTGCTCAATTTGTGAAGAAGTGTTGGTTCGAACCTGGGACCTCCTGTGCACGTGCTGAAGCCTTTGCCAGTTAAACTGAAAAGCACCTACGAAATTCTTTTACAAAAAATAAATATATATAATATTTCTAATAACAAATACAAATATATATAATAAATATTATATACAAAATTTAATATATATTATATAATTTAATATATTATTATTTATTTGAATTTAATTTTTATATTTAAGTAAAAAATTTCTAGTAATTTTTACTTTGATTCAAATATTTAATTAAATAATAAGTATATTTTTTATTTTTATTTTTATTTTCTTATATAATATTTTTATTTTTTAATTTTTATATAATATATTGTTTAAAAATTATGATACATTTATATTTATTTTAATAATAAGTTTAAAAAATAATTGTTATATATTTATATTATATTTTTTTGTGAAGGATTAGTAACAGAATTGCAACAGAAATTAGTGACGAAAAAGTTCCGTCACTAATTTCCATCACAAAATGAGAGTTAGTAACGGATTGGTAACGGAAATTAGGGATGGAATTTTTCCGTCACTAATAATTTAAAACAAAATTAGGGACAGACTTGTGACAGAATTTAGTAACGGAATAAGATTTCGTCACTAATCCGTCTCTAAGTTAGTGACAGAATAAAATTCTGTCACTAATCCTTCACTAATTTAGCGACGAAATTTTTCCGTCACTAAATTCCGTCCTAATTTTAGTGACAGAATTTGTGAGGGATTAGCGACGGATTAGCGATGGAATGAAATTCCGTCATTAAATTCCGTCACTAATACCCTGTTTTTTTGTAGTGTTATAGGTGTTAGAGTATGGGTTATTTTTGGGATTAACTCTATCGTATCCATCTCCCATATAGTTGGCCTCCTCTAGATAGTTACTTTCATACCTTTCCTAAAGAGAATTAGAAAGAGAAGAATGAGAATTAACAGAATTAAAATCGAAGTAGTGACTTCATTAACCATTGCCCTCCTTCCTCAAACTGACTTTGATCTTGAAGTTGCTGCCAGTATTATGTAAATCTCCTCCTTGTCCTCAGATGTCATGTTATTTGGATCACCATGAGCAGCATTATCAACCTTTGACCGATATTTAGAACCAAGCCCATTATAGGAAAAATCCATTAGAAGTATATGTGAAAAATGATGATGAGGACATTGGCTTATGAGGAGATTATAATGTTCCCATGCTTCATGAAACGTTTCACCATTCTATTGGGTAAAAAAGTGAATCTTATCCCTTATTTCTGAAGTCTTCTGAGGGGAGTAGTATTTGAGAATAAATTGCTCATACAAATCAGTCCAAGACGTTATAGAAGCTTCTGGTAAATGTAGAAGCCATTGGCGAGCTTCTCTTTTCAGACAATATGGGAAACAACGCAGCTTTAATCCATCTTCTGATAGACTATTCAATGGTAGTGTATCAATCACCCCATAAAAATCACGTATATGTGATGCCCGTTAAAATAGGTAGCACATTTAAGTGAATATTTTTAAACTCATAATTAGGCGCTGCTCAGCTCAGTTGAATGCACGATGAATTAAAAGTAATAAAAAGGCATTGAATATCTTGAAATATAATTTGTCACTTTGGATTGACGCTGTCATCTCCATGATCACTATCAACTATCTCTTTTCTTATTCTTTTGACTTCTATTTTTCCTGTAAAATCGTTCAATTTCTAAATTAATAGGAATCAAGGCAGAGTCATCAAAACTTCTCAATTGCATAAAAACAAGCAAAACAAAAATAAAAACAAATATTTAGAATAAAATAAAATAAACTAAAAAGTAAAGAGAAATAAAAATTAAAAAATTACTAAATCCGTAACCTCCCTGGCAATGGCACCAAAAACTTGGTCGATTTGCAAGTGCACAGAATCAGCATAGTAATAAATCTTAGAGTGTTCTATGATTGTACCCACAGAGAGGTTGTGTGTTTACCAGTCTCAATAATTAATAATTAAAGAAAAAGCAATAAGCCAAATTATTTGAAGAGAATGAATTAAAACTAAAAGAGAGAAGCAAAAGACAATTGATTATGAGGAGAAATCAATCACTCAAAAGGTTGGGTTTCAGGATTAATTCACCCTATAAGTAGTTAGTTTCTATCATTTGATTTGACTCTTTATTCAATTATAGTGACAACTATTTCTAAAATGTCTTAATATTCTCTCGAATTATTAGTCCCTTTTTAATTAATGTTGAATTCGTTCCCACGATACTCAAACAACTAATTAAACCATGAAGCTATAGCTTAATTCACAATAAATATCTAGAACTATCCCTAGCCTAAATATTTATGTCTGTTTCTCTAGATCTAGGTTCTCTCTTCACCTCCCAGTTCATCAAGATTATCCATAGATTTGATTTAATGGTGATTAGTGATAAAATCAACATGAAGAATAAGAGAAGTAGATATAACAGAAAAAACTAAAATATATTCACAAAAAGAAATCCATAAAAGAGTCAAAATAAACAAAAATAAAAATAGCTTTCCCAAGGGAATTAAAGGTGCATTTGAACATAAAGGTCAAATTGCCAAAACATTAAATTAAACATTACTCTTACCAAAAAATCAGCTTTCGCTAGTTGGAATGCACGTTTGGGCCCCCACACATGATTCCAAACACACCCTCAATTGGTAGCAACATTACAATGTCAAACAAACCACATCAGTGCTTCCAAATCGCAATTAAAAAAAAAACACTATGGTTAAGAAACTCGAACTGATCAAAAAGCATATATATACATTTATTCTTGCTCTCCACATCTTTTTTCTCCCTAATGAGATGGGCATTAGTGGAGGAAAAACAGAGAAACATATACAGTTCTCAGATGTAGGTAGAGTTCCTTTTGCTGTACTCCAAGGAGGCTTTAGTATTTCTTTCCCTCCTTCTCCATAATTGATACATTAGACTGTTAATGATCTTGTTCCGAACATGAATCATGAAAGAAATGTGACATAGTATCTTCTGCCATAATTCTTGGTTTCGGTACTTTCATAATTAACGAGGCTATGAGAAGGTCCCAGTATAATGGAATTTGTGAAAATAAAAATAACCCTGCAGCGGGCAATATAATGATACTGTGACCAAGAATAGCTTGATACTTCTCTTCAGGGAGAAACTCATGGGACAAAGCAGCATAGAAAGAGACCACCATGGAGACAAGGGAAGCACAAAATGAAAATAAGCCCAAACAAATGGCAGACTTCTGCGATGGCCTCTGGGTCGTTCATTTCCAGTGCTACAAATAGATAGAAAGGCAGCCAACGAAGTGATTGAGAAGCAAAATGAAATTAACAATGAGATAGAAAACGTGTGACCTAGTACTGTGCCGGGAGCTTCCTAGCATGCAGAAAATGTAGCACCAGTAATAAGTGTGGCTGCAACAATGTAAGATCTACATGTGTCCTTCCCTGATTTGTTACTTTCCTTGATAAGCTGCTTGTGCCCGTTGGCAAAGATCTCCCCTGGAGTCTTACCATTGTTGTTAGTTTGGGAGTCGAAGTAAGGGGGCATCGCTTTTCTCACGTACTGTTCATTGTAAAATACCAAAATTCATAAACAATGTACAAATTATCATTGTGTGTGTGTGTTTTTTTGTGTACCGTTATTGGACTGCAACGTATTTGTATGATAAAAACAACATTGACACTTCTAACATGCAAGAGTTGATATAAAAGGTGTGAAACAGTTAGACATACAACTACTTTTGGTCTTTTTTACAAGATGCAATTAACGAAATAGTATGGTTTAGGAAATATGTTAATATTGGTGAAAGGGTGAATACAATTTTTGGTCCCTCAAATTTTAAACCATTAGGTTTTGATCCTTCAAGTTTCTTTTTATTTGAAATATTGGTTCCTATAATTTAATAAGAACTTGGACCATTTTGTCCCTTGAGGGACCAAACCTTATGGTTTCAAATTTAAGAAACCAAAACTAAAATGAAAGCAAACTTGAGAGACCAAATATTACTTTAATCCTTAGTTAAAAGCAAAAACTATGTAAATAATGTTCTTTTCCCCCCAAATTAAATATGCTCTTATTTATAAGATAATAGGTGAGAGAAAAAAATAATGAGAGAAAGGATGGAAGAGAATGTATGAAAAAAAAATAATGCAATCAATTCGGATAAAATTGGTTTAAAAAATACATTTAATATTCAGACAATCTCAAACTAGATTTTATAAAAAGTATCCCACTTATTCAAAAATTCGGAACTTATAAAAAGGACTAGAAGGAGTACCTCCAATCCTAAGTAGAGGAGCTAGACAAGGTGTCTGCTTACTCTTAAAATGGAAAAAAGGACGGAGACACCACTTTTCTTTTTAAATTAATATTTTTTTTCCTCCAAGTATTGCTATTGATTGCGCATAGTAATGAGGTTTCCATTAAGAAGTAGTTACAATGCTTATGATTAAAAATGGTATTTTAAGGAGAAACTAATACCTATTTGTTACAAATAATTAACTTAAATAAATATATTAATATCTACAAATTATCTAACTCTTATATTAAAAAGGGTAAATATGCATCCAGAACCCTAATCTTATTTTCTAGGTACATCCAACACCCCAATCTTTTTTATGGTGCATCCAACATCCTGACTAATTTTATTTTTAGTATATTCAACACCCTAAATGTAACTAAAAAAATAATTTTGAAGTACTGGATGTACCCAAAAAAAAAAGATTAGGATGCTAGATGTACATAAAAAAGATAAGAGATGCATTAGTAAAAAAAAAAAAAATCAAAGTGCTAGGTATACTTGAAAAAAAATTATTGGAGTACCCCTTTACCATAATAAAAATCAACTAAATTTTAAATACCTCGAACCACATGACTTCCCATTGCATTTGCATAACATATCCTCGTATTTCCCAGATTGTATGTTTTTGATAACTGTGCTGCCAAGTGCAATGCATTGTTTCCATCAGCATCGACCTTTTCCCTCCATACAGTCCAAAGTTTGTGGATTGTGGCCTTTTATTAACTCCAAGACATGACTCTGCCTCTGCCTCTCCACTATTGCCACGTGTACTATATTCCTTTTCTTTATGAGTAATTGATCATGGACAGACACTGGAATATCACGCAGGTTTTGTTCACCTGCTTGGTCAGACCATTTTTAGCTACGATCAATAGTGCTGTTGTTATTTTGATTCTGTCTGCCAAGTGCCAATCACCAATAACTGAAAAGGTTACATTACTCTTTTCTCCAAAGAAATAAGAATGAAACTAAGACATATATAATCACCTCCGAAATATTGGAATCTCAAAATATAAAGTCTCCTGAAATGTCTTAATCCGCAAGAAATTTCTGGTAATCATTCTGAAATTAATGTTTTTTAATATAAAATGACCTAATTACTTTCACATTAAAAAACATCCACCATCACCTGATGTTGGGGCTGAAGTTTTAGTACGGGAATTATTCTATACTACTTTGAATTCTTAATATAAGACCCAATTAACTAATTTGGAGAGATTAAAAAAGTTACTAAATTACTTAATTTTAGCATATATTATATGACTTCTATAAAATACTTATATACTACTTTCAGTCCTAATTATAAGACCTCGTTTGTAGTCTAAAAACGAAGTCTTATAATTAGGACCGAAGGTAGTAAATTATTAGATTATGTATCAATTTATAAGTTAGGAAAATTAGTTTGGAGAAAAACAGTAAATACAATTACTTTGAAGTAACTTTGTAATTTTCTTAATCTCCCCAGATTAATCAACTAGGTTTTATATTAAGGACCGGAGGTAATACATGAGAACAATTAGGTCATTTCGCAAAAAATCTTAATTCTAGAATGGTTTCAAAGAAATTAAGATATTTGGAGAGATTAGTTTGGGATTATCTTTCAAATAGTAATACTTTAAATTTTTCTGTGGGGTTTTACCTTCCTATATTTTCATATCTATGAGGAGATAATATTTCATGTTCACAATATTCTGCATTTCTTTGGCATTATCATTCTCTCGATACCAAGGATCTTGCTTTACAAGTTCATCCATGATAAGGCCACACAACGCATGATTCTCTTTCAGCTTCCTAACAGAGCCTGACGAAATATATTTTTAGATACCCAAAAAAAAAAATTAGAGATTCAAAACTTGCACGGGAAACAAAATAGAAAGGATGAATTGTATAAAACTTTTCCATATTTAGGACCATGAATAATCTTTAACAATGAACCCTATCTAAACTTTCAAATCTATGCAGATAACCCCA